AAAAAAAAAAAAAAGGCACAAACTTCTGGAGCTGTAAATTAGCTTGTCTGTTTCAGTTTAAACAACTTGTCCCACATGCATACAGCAGCAAATGTAACTGCCCAGTAATCCCATTAAATGTGGCAGCCACACCCTGTCGACACTCCCCAGCCCGACCATGGTACCACACACAGATTTTATGTTTTATTTACTTATTTAGGTTTAATTGTTTGATTGTTTGATTACCTACTAGAATGGCAGCTGCATTGGGGCGGGGATGCTAGGTGGCTCACTGCTCTGTCCCCAATGCCTGGCACATATTTATTGTAAAGCAATGAATGAATGAACAAGAATGAATGAAGCATCTAGTCACTGGCTTTTCCGTGGATCCTATCCCATCCACTGGGATGCCATCCCAACCCTCACTGCCTCATTTAGTTCTCACAGAATTCTCATATACACCAGAGATGCACTTTTATCCTAACATCCTGGGAGGGGCGGGGGTGCCTTCGGGCTTTCTCTTCCCACTTGCACAGTGAGTGCATCAAGTCTTCTAACCAGTGTGGTTAGTACTTTTGTTGTAATGGTGGTGTTCTGTTTTTCTGTTTGCCTCAAAATATAACTCAGGCTGGCCTGGAACTGGTGATCCCCCTGCCTCAATCTCCTCCCAAGTACTAGGGTTATAGTCATGTGCCACCAGACCCAGTATAGTGGTTTCTTCAGGTTGTTTTCCACAGTTCTACCCTCAGAAGCTGTGATTCTAACTCCCAGCAGGGACACTGACAAGTCACTGTTCCTCTGTGGGCAGGTTTCCCAGAAGACTACATTCAAGAGTCCAGATTTTCACAGAAAGGGTTTTATTTGAAAATGGTGTGTCTCACCATTATAAAACAAAAGGTCCTAACTCCTTCTGGAGTACCTATTAACTCCAGAGAGTTAATAGGTACTCATAGATTCCCATGAGAAAAGGAAGTAAAAGGAAATGTTCTGAGGTAAACAGGGCTGCCCAGGGGGAAGGGAGGGAAGCATCCTGCCTTTGAAGATCAGGGTCTTGGTGAAGGAGTATCAGAATAGGATCAGACAGGCCCTGGGTTTGCACACAGCAATAGAGTGCAGACTTACCAACCGCCCTGGGTTCAGAGTCAGCTCAGCAGGCCTGAGCTAATTCTAACAGAATTGCTGAAGGAACAAGCCAAAATCAGAGATAAAGAATGATGCCAGGCATGTTGGCTAACACCTATAACCCCAGACATAGGAGGCTAAGGCAGAAGGACTGTCCTAACCTCAAGGCCAGCCTGGGCTACAGAGTAAATTCCAAGCTAGCCTAAGATGGAACCAGGCTCTGTCTCACAACAACATGACTGGAGACGTAGCTCAGTTGGTAGTGTTTGCCTAGCATGCACCAAGTCCCAGGTTCCATCTCCAGCACCCGAGAAACCAAAGGTGGTGATGCACACCTGTAATCCTAGCACTACAGAGGCAGAGACAAGAGGATCCCAAGTCCCCAGGTCATTGTCAGAAATAGAGTTTGAGGCTGGCCTGGGCTGCGGCTACATAAAACAGTCTCAAAAAAAAAAAAAAAAAAAAAAAAAGTTCAAAAGTCCTTGGCCAAGGAATGAGCATAAGTCATTTAAGAGTCCCTGCCCCGAGAAAGAACTCAGACCTCTCTCCCACACCACACCCTCACCAAATTTTAAGTCATAAATCTACTCAGAAACTTTCAATGCCACATCTTGCCTGGAGCCTCTGGGAGCCCTCTGCTTTGCCAGTGCCCTCTTCATACTATGCCCATTGTTCCTCTGCCTTTTGACCTTCCTTTTGAATCTGGTTTGTCCTTCTCCCCCAACTAGAATCCAACTTCCCCAAGAAGCCTGCGGTTTGTGGTATCTGTAACGCTCACCAAGGGCACTTACACCTTTGGCCTCAGGACTGTGCCACCTGCTCTCAGCTTCAAAGGGCCCCCAGTCTCAATCTACTGGTTCCTGTGTATAAGTGCACCCATATCATGTAATGCCCATGGAAGTCAGAAGAGGGTGTCAGATCCCCAGAAACTGGAGTTATGGATAGTTGTTGGCTGCTATGTGGGTGCTTGGGTCCTCTGCAAGAGCAGCCAGTGGTGTTAACCTCTGAGCCAGCTCTCCACCCCCCCCACCCCCAACTGGTACTCTCTTATTTACCTACTCAAGGATCATTCTGTGGGACATTCTATGGGACAACATGACACTAACCTGCTACAGCCTCCCAAGTATAAAGATTATAGGTACATATTGTCTATGCCCAGCAAGATCCCATCTCTTAATTTTGAAAGAAAAAAAGTGGGGTGACAAGATACTTAGATAGTAAAAGTGCTTGTCTCAAAAAGCTGAGACCTGGGGCTGGAGAGATGGCTCAGCGGTTAAGAGCACTCACAGCTCTTGCAGAGGACCCAGGTTTGATTCTCAGCATCCACGTGGCGGCTATGAACTGTCCGTGACTCCAGTTCCAAGGGGAATCCGAAGCCCTCTTCTGACCTCCACAGCATTGCACAACATGGGTGCACTCACATACATGCAGGCAATACACTCATACACATAAAATAAAAATAATAAAAAATAAAATATCAACAAAAAAGACTGAGAGAAAAAGTAATAAATCTTAGTATTAGATGAGTAAATGGTGCTCTAAGCACTTGAAAAAGGAAATTCCCAGGAATCTAAGTAGATGGATCTGGCCCTCCAAGAACATCCATAGGTGTTCAGGAGCACTGGTTGGCCCTCAATTCTGATTATTTGGCCACAGTTTTGTACCCAAGTCCTGATTATGTCAAATTTTCTGGAGCTAAAGTAATTGGCTCCAGTGTTAAAGACAAACGCTCCTCTCTGAATCTTTGTCTTTTATCCCAGTGAGGCCTGTGTTGGAAACAGAATTCATTTTCACTTCCTGCTTTCAGCTGACATTACTGTTCAGCTGTGCAACAGCTGTTGAGTTCCACTTCACAAGTAGCAGCTTTTCAGTGGTTGGCAAACTGGTGCACATCTGGAAGGAGATGTTCAAATGACCTCAGGACCCCACAGAATACATCAAAACACTGAAGTAAGCCTTGGATGAGCTCGTTCTGACGTAACTCAATTGCTGAAAATTATTTCATGGCCATTATTGAGTTGAGTGATCTATCTCATCAAAGCACAGTAGACTAGGGAATTGTCCCTGTATTTGACATTTAAGGAGGGTGGTGACGAGGAAGTGATTTTCACATGTTGATCTCAGAACTTGAGTTCTATGATCCAAAGAGCATGACCACAAAATGTTTCCTGAGGCTTTGCATTTGGGTATGAGCTCGAGATAGTGTGCCAGAGTTGCAGAGCAGGTGGGCTGACTAATGAACACTTCAAGAGATAGCTTGCTGGAGAAGCAATGTATTGGTCTGCTGCACTGATTTTTAACCACTTGCTTCTGTTCTTATTGTACGTTCCTTTTTGGGGTGAAACACTCCATTAACTCTGGTTTAGTCTGGGCCCCTTTCCCATTTTGGTTCCTGTTCACTGGCAGCAGTAGCAGGCGTGGATAGAAATAGTTCAGTTCTTCCCACTCTAATGTTTGGACTAGCTGCTGTGCATCAGGTGGCTGCACATGTGGGAATATTTCTGTGCTGGCTCTGGTGTCCTCAAACATGGGACTAGTTGCACCTTGGACAGACACCATGTGAATCATCATAGCACCTGAAGGCTGCTAGGTCTCTAAGTACCAGGCTTCAGCACAACCAAGGAAGGGCATAAAGACAAGAAGCAACATAAAGGCAAGATAAGTGACAGATAATGCTGAGCTCTGCCTGACCCTGGCTGTGTGATCCTGGAAGAGTCTTATCACTTATATACATTTCTGTTTTCTTACTGATAAAGCTAACATTACCTAAAACATGGGTGGCTTTTCCTTATGGTTAACAGGATTAAAGCGTGAAATTGTAACCCACATGCTATAAAGATTTGTTATTATAAACTTGCTCATGTGAACTTGCAACAATGGTGAGAGCACACACAAGACTCATGCTGACTCAACCAGACAAAAGTCCCAGCATAGAAAAGCTGAGACCTGAGTTCCAGTCTCAGGACTCAAAAAGCCAGATGCAGTGATTCCCATCTGTCATCCCAGCATTACTATACGTGGACAGGAGGCAGAGACAGGAGAATTGCCCAGAAACCTTTGGACCATCCTGGAGTACTCAGCATGGCAGGAAAAACAAAGACCCTGTCTCAACAAGGTAGAAAGGAGAGAACCAATTCCAGACAGTTGTCCTCTGACCTCTACACACATCAGTGCCTCAGAATACACATACCAGCACACACACCACACACACAATAATAAAATAATTTTTAAGAATAGAATGTGGAGCTCTATATATTTATTATAAATTAGGTCACATTTTCCCCCGAAGTATTCCAAGAAAGAGAAGCAATCAGATGGCCCTGAGAACATGGCCAGGTGGCTCAGGTTAGTGTCACAGGTAAGGCTGGTCCTTGGACAGCTCCCACCTCTTCACAGGAGGAGCAGGCGTCACTGTCTTCTTCTCAGTGGCTGCCACAGCTGAGCTGCAGGAAAAAGATAAGACTCCTGTTAGGGCCTGGTCTACAGAGAACAGTAGGGCAGGATCTGAAGGATCTTAAGTGCTGCAGTCACTTGGCCTTTCTCAACCAAAATTCCCTAGGCTGTCCTGGTTGCAGAAAGCTGACATTAGCAATCAGCCACTTCCCCCACTCCTGGGAGAGCTGTTTGTTGAGACAACCTGTTTCCCAAGACAGCCTGTCTCCTTCAGCAAATGGTCCTAAGAAGAGATCATAAACCCTTTGCCTCTCAAGATAAATCAGGGCAAATGGTGCCAGGAAAAAGAGAGCCATAAGGGGGCCATAAACATCTCAAGTGCGCCTCTGATCTGCACGCAGTCAGGAGTCAGCCAGCCACAGCTGTATCCTATATAAGCCTCAACAGCGCCACCCCTGGGGCAGCAGTCACTTCCAGCAAGCGGGGAAGACTGCTGTCCCTCACTGAGGTACTTCAGTAAACTCAGTCTTGTCTGAGAGCAGGGATGGCCTTCTTTCTCTCCTACTGTTCCTGTATGATGCAGCCCAAACTCTGGTACAAATGTACATATGGAGGGCAGAGGGAAGGAACCTCAGACTACCCAACCCCCACTCCCAATGAAGTTCTTCAAAGGCTCAGCTGATGCCTGATGGGAGCTGGCAAGCCCCTTGGCTATCAGAGTCCCTGAAAAGCTTCCATCACTCTGTCCCGATTCTCAGTCCCAGACATGAACAGCTGGGATCCTCCCTTTCTACAGGCACCCCAGTGCACACAAGCCCCAGAGCAGATGCAGGGTGATGGGTATACACTGATCTTTCTCAGGTACTTAGTAGCACACAGGCACTCCATGACAGGTGTTGCACACAGGCACGGCACTAGTAACATGAGGCCCACCTTGAGCTGGTGGAGCTGAGTCAGTATGAAATTTGAAAATACAATCCTTAGGGGCTGGAGAAATAGCTCAGCAGTTAAGAGCAATGACTCTAATTCTAGTTCCAAGGGAGGGATCTGATGCCCTCTTCTGACCTCTGCAGACACTGCACAACACAAGTGCATTTACATACATACAGGCAAGAACACTCATACAAATAAATTTTAAAAATAATAAAGTATTTTTTTAAAAAGAAAGCCAGGTGTGGTGGCAGATGCCTTTAATCCCAGCACTCTAGAGGCAGAGGCAGGTGGATCTCTGTGAGTTCAAGGCCAGCCTGGTCTACATAGTGAGTTCTAGGACAGCTGGGGCTACCAGGAGACCCTGTCTCAAAAAAGATAAAACAATAAATAAGAAAAGAAAAGGCAGAGGCAGGCGGATCTCTGTGAGGTCAAGGCCATCCTGGTCTACATAGTGAGTTCCAGGACAGCTGGGGCTACAGGGAGACCCTGTCTCAAAAAAGATAAAAAAATAAATAAGAAAAGAAAAGGCAGAGGCAGGCGGATCTCTGTGAGTTCAAGGCCATCCTGGTCTACATAGTGAGTTCTAGGACAGCTGGGGCTACAAGGAGACCCTGTCTCAAAAAGACCAAAAAGAAAAAGAAAAAAAAAAGAATTCTTCTTGCACTTGGGAGTCTAAAAGAGGTCAGTCTAGGCTAAAAAGAAAAACCTTATCTCAAAGCAGGATGGAAGGAAGGTAGGTTGCTTAAGCAGCATGCACTATAGTCCCAGCTGGACTCCAAGAGTTTGGCTCTAAGAGCCAAGGCAAAATAATGAAACCATCTCTTTAAAAAAATTAAAGACAAATGTAGCCTCAAGGAGACAATGTACCAGCAAGTCCAAACAAGCACCTTCCCCACTCCCCTAACTGGAGTGGCTTGCACTCACCCTAAGTCAGAAAGGAAAGGAGGGGAAAGGTGGCATTGTAAATTGTGAAAGAGGGGCTCAAGGGGGTGAAGGGAGCCTCTCCAAAAAATGCAGACATCCCCAAGGACCTAGTACCAGAGGGAGCATGTCAAGCTATCTGACTCTTCCCAGCAGCAGACTGTGCCCTTGGGGAGGTCTGCATTTTTCAGACATAACACTCATAAAATAAAAATAAAATCTTAAAAAAAAATTTGTTTTTAAGCTGAGGGGGGCTGGAGAGATAGCTCAGGAGTTAGGAGCACTTGCTGCTCTTTCAGAGGGCCAGAGTTTGGTTCCCAGCACGTGTGTCTGGCAACTCACAACTGCCTGTTAACTCCAGCTCCAAGAGGCTCCAAAGACACCCACACTCATATGCACATACCCATACATAGACACATACAAACACACACACATTATTAAAAATAACAAAAATAAATCTTTAAAAATGGCTAAAGGAGTACCACCCTCGGGCCACACATTGAAATCAGTTGTATGGCCCAAGCCAGTCCCTTGGCCACTCGGGCCTCAGTTCTGTTTTGCAAGAGTCATCAGGAAGCAGACGGAGCATAGGCTCTGTGCCCCTCCTCTCTAAGTGGTCAGATGTATTCACCAGCCCACTGAAGTAGAGCTACTGTAAAGATAAAATTACAACACATTTGGTCTATACAGGACTGACTTTTATTTGTAATTCTAAAATTGGTCAGAAGCTCATTGTGGGGGGGTGCAGGTGTGTGTGCAGGTATGTGTGTATTCACGCACGCACATGCATGTGGAGGCCAGAGGACAACCTCAAGTATCGTACCTCATGTGGCACACACCTTTTTCTTGAGTTGGGGTCTTCAAATAATCTGGGGTTCTGCTAGGCTGGCTGGCCAGCACATCCCAGGGATGCACCTATCTCTGCCTTCCCAGTGCTGACATTACAAATGTGTACTAGCACATTCAGCGTTTTTTTTTTTTTTCATGGATTCTGGGGATCAAATCAGGCCCTGTAAGTACTTTACCAACTGAGCTATCTGCCCAGGATCTTCTGATCTTATTTTTTAACTATGTGTATGGGGAGAGGGATGCGGGTGTGCATGTGTGAGTGCAAGTGCACTCAGAGTCAAGAAAAGGGCATTGGATCCCCTGGGGCTGGAGTAACAGATTGTGAGCCACCCAAGGTATGTACTCTTAACTACTGAGCCATCTTTCCAGCCCTTTTTTGTTATGTCTTTTTTTTTTGGGGGGGGGGGATGAGACAGGGTCTCCCTGTAGCCCCAGCTGGCTGGAAGTCTCCATGTAGTCCAGGTTGGCCTTGATCTCACAGAGATCCACCTGCCTATGCCTCCTGTGTGCTGGGATTAAAGAACTCGGGGATTTGAGGTTTGTGACACCACACTCAGCCTCAACACCTCCTTCTAAGAAACAAAACAAGCTCTCTAATAAATACAAGAAGAGATTGGTTCTATAGTCAGAAAAGGACTGAAGGAAGCAGAAACCACACAAACAGAGAACTGGCCAGCAAAGAACTGGCTGTAATCTCTCACCTGGATTCTCAGAAGGGCAGATAAACAGCCAAGCGTCACTTGGTGGACTTCTATAAAAGCATCGGTTTGGGCTTGGTCTGCTGGAGCTAGTGAGGAGCTCATTCCAAACCATGGGCCCCTATGAACTTCATTTAACTGAGAGATGGCACCTGTGGCCAAGAACCAAACTAGGTTTTTTTTTGTTTTTTTTTTTCTCTTGGGTTCATTTTAGGGTTCTTTTATCATTGTTTTAATTTTGTATCACATTTATTCATTTCAGGGTGGAGGGCATGCGGAGGTCAGAAAACAACTTGTGGGGCTGGAGAGATGACTTGGCAGTTAAGAACACTGGCTGTTCTTGCAGAAGACCCAGGTTCAAAGCCCAGCACCCACATGGCAGCTAATAACTGTCCATAACTCCAGTTCCAGGGGATCCGACACCCTCTTCTAAGATTATCTTCTGTCCTCCTCAAGCACCACATGACATGGGTGCACTTACATACATGCAGGCAATACGTACATACACATAAAATAAAAATAAACATTTTTTAAAAAAAAGAAGACAACTTGCAGAAATCGATCCTCTCCTTCCACCATGTGGATCCCAGGGATCAAACTCAGACTGGTAGATTTGGCAACAAGTGCCTTACCCACTGAGTTATCTCACTGGCCCTGGGTCATTTGGGTTTTTTAAATTTTCTTTTTTTCAGAGTACACCTCACTATGTTGCCCAGGCTGACCTGGAATGTGTAATCCTCCTGCCCCTGCCTGTCTCCACCTCCCCAGCACTGGATTTGAAACACACCACCACACCTGACTTTTTAAAAATATTTTATTTTATTTTTATTTTATGTGTATGAATGTAATACCTACACGTAGATCGGTGCACCCATGTCATACAATGCCTGGAACTAGAGTTACAGATGGTTGATAGCCACTGTAACAACCATGCTAGGAACTGAACTTGAGTACTCTGCAAGAGCAGCCAGTGCTCCTAACCAATGAGCCATCTCTCCAGCCCCATACCTGACTTATTTTTATGTGGGTCCTGGGACTTGAACTCAGGTCCTCACATTTGCAAGGCAAGCACACTATTGACTGGGCTATCCCTTCAGGCCTGTCCTGGAAATCTTTTTTAATATTTTACTTTTTATTTCATGTGTATGAGTGTTTTGCCTACCTGTATGTAAGTGCACCCATGTCCTGCAGTGTCTGTGGAGGCCAGAAGAGGGTGTTGGATTCTCTGAAGTGGAGTTACAGGTGGTTGTTACCACCACATAGGTGCTGGGCACCAAACCTGGGTCTTCTGCAATAACAGTCAGTGCACTTAACCACTGAGCCATCTCTTGACCTGAAATTCTTGCTCTTCCTACCTCAGCCTCCTGAGTACTGGGATCACAGGCTTGTCCCACCATAACCAGCTGATAACTGGGATTGTGAAAAAGCACTTGTCCACCTACAGGAAAAGAAAGGCCAGTGGCAGAAAGGAATGTTGCAGGGCTCTAAGGGGCACTGTGGGTCCTTACCTCTCCTCTGTCTTGCCTGACACCAGAGCCTTCTGAGAGGACATGATGATGGAGGGGGGCACAGATTCCCGACGGCCATCTCGAGTACAGTAATAATTGTTGGACAGCTTGTGGCTGGGGCCCACAGGGAGCTTAGGAGGAGGCTGAGTCCTGAGGAAAAAGAACATTGGCACTGAAACAAAACAAGGACCCCTCCCATGCACAGACTCATTTACAAGACTCAGTGTCTAAAGGTAACAAGAACTTCACCAAATGGCTCATGACTTTAATCCCAGTACTTAGGAGGCAGAAGCAGGCAGATCTCTGTGAAATTGAGGCCAGCCTGATCTACATAGCAAGTTCCAGACAGCTGGGGCTACAGGGAGACCCTGACTCAAAAAACCAAAAAATAAAAGAAAAATACAACTGCAAAGACACTAGGGGCTTGTCTCTGGCTCAGAAGCAAGTAGGAGACACTGTTTTGCCTAACAAAAGTGCTTCAAAGCTAGGCCAAGGGAGTCGGCCCCATACCTCAAATATGGATAGGTATGAAGGACCCTGTGGGGGGGGGTCTCAAAACAAAACGAAACACCCCCCCCCACACACACACACACATACAAAGCTGAGCTCGGCAGCTGGCCTTCCCTCCTCCTCCATGTGGTCAAGAAATCACACAAGACAGAGAGCTGGGCTGTGAGCACCCTTATTCAGTTACTATCCATAATTGCTTGGGGGGTAGCTCCAAATTCTGCCTACTTTATATGGCTTTTTCCCCAAAGATCAGTTATGGAACACCCTGTTTCCTGTTATCTCCAGAACTCTTTGAAGAACCCTGCTGGGAAAAGGCTTGCTACTCAAAGAACACCTTGCCCTTGGAGCCTGCCCAAGTCTCTGCACTTCCTGCCACTGTGTGCTCTAATGCCAAAACTCCCTGTAGAGGGGAGTCAGGTTTTGTTGGAACAAAGCTCAGTCCTACCTTGGGTTAAACCCTGAGGTTACCAAGAAGCCTGAAGCCTTAAAAGAAAACACTGAACTTCAAAACAGAAGAACTGCCCAATACAAAGGGGGAAGGGCAGCAAGGACAGGGAGATTTAAAAAAAAAAAATCATAAAAAGATCTGATTTTCATTTGGCCATACTGTTAAATGACACTTTTGTCAGGTAACCATTTTGCCACAATTTAAGTTTTCCTTAAAGAATATGACAGCCATTTTATTTTTAAAAAGTGAAATATGGCTGGGTGTGGTGGCATACGCCTTTAGTCCCAGCACTTGGGAGGCAGAGGCAGGCAGATCTTTGTGAGTTCAAGGCCAGCCTGGTCTACACAGTGAGTTCAGGTCAACTGGGACTACAGGGAGACCCTGTCTCAAAAAATCAAAAATAAATAGATAAATAATAAGAAAGAAAGAAAGAAAGAAAGAAAGAAAGAAAGAAAGAAAGAAAGAAAGAAAGAGAAATAGAGAAATATATCTCAGCCCAGTAGCACACTTGAGATAGAGAGGCAGGACAAGAGTTCAAAGTCATTCTCAACAATGACTAGGCTATATGAGACCCTGTCTCAAAAAAGCAGAAATGGGATGGAGAGAGGTTAAGAGCACTGACTGCTCTTGCACAGGACCTGGATTTGGTCCCCAGCATTCCACATGGCAATCAACAAGCGTAATTCCAAGGATCTGACACCCTCTTCTGGCCATTGCATGACATGTGTACATTTGACATACATGCAGGCAAACTACTCATACACATAAAATAAAATTAGTACGCCTTTAATCCCAGCACTCAGAAGGCAGAGGCAAGCAGATCTCTGAGTTAGAGTGCCAGACCAGCTGGGGCTACGGGGAGACCCTGTCTCAAAAATACCGAAAGAATAAATAATTTGCTAATTTTTTTTTTAAGCTGGAAAAATAATTCAGTGGTAAGAGTGTCTGGTACACAATCATAAGGATCCCAGTTTAGTAAAGATCTCAGCACCCACATAACAAGCTGGGTGCTGCCAGGCATTGTGGGGCAAACCTTTAATCCCATCACTCAGGAGGCAGAGGCAGGCAGACCTCTGAGATAGAAACTAGCCTGGTCTTCATAGTGAATTACAGGCCACCGGGGCTACAGAGAGACCCTATCTCAAAAAGACAAAAAATTTAAAAAGGAAAGAAAAAAATTAAAAACCAAGCTGGGCTTCCCACAAATACCTATAACTCCAGCTCTGAGATCCAATGTCCTCTTCTAGCCTGACATGCACATCCCCCCACGAATGCCCATACACTCACCTGACACGTACAAACACCTTTTTAAAAAATTAATTTTTTAATTAAAAAATAATACTAAAATAGCGAAGAAAAAGCATGGTAGCACACGCCTTTAATCCCATACTTGAGGCAGAGGCAGGTGGACCTCTGGGAGTTGAAGGCCAGCCTGGTCTACATAGCAAGTTCTTGCCAGTCAGGGCTATATAGTGAGACTGTCAAAAATAATAAACACATCTGGATATGGGAGTGTACAAGTATAGTCCCAATATTCTGAAAGCTGAGGCAGGGAGGTCCCAAGTTCTAGACCAGCCTGGTCCACACAGCAAGTTCCAGGACATCCTGAGCTACATAGTGATGCTACCTCAAAAAGGTCAGCAAGATGGCTCAGCAGATTAAGGCATTTGCCACCAAGTCTGATGATCTGAGCTCTATCCCAAAGACCCACACAATGTAGAGAGAAATGACTTTCATGAGTTGTCCTCTGCCATCTACCAGTGTATTGTGGCATGTACCTACCTACATGCACACACAAAATTGAATAAATGCAGCAATTTTAAAATAAAGATGTAAAGTTTTGTTTTTTGTCCTTCAGAACCTTTATTAAATCCTTTCAAATACACTCTCTTGCTTCCATCCAGCAAATGTGATACACTTTATGACAAGTGCCTAACTTGATAACTGCATAGTTTTTGGCTAACATAACTCGATTCATGTGCAGTCTCTAACAGCAAAGACATTGGCCTGCCTTTAAAGTACTTTGGCCCACTATAGTTGCAATGTATTGGGGGGTTTTATCCTATTTTTGCATGAATAAAGTTTTTTGGTGGGCCTTTTTGAGACAGGGTCTCCCTGTAGCTCCAACTGGCCTGGAACTCACTATATAGACCAGGCTAGCCTTGAACTCAGAGAGCCACATGCCTCTTCCTACAGAGTGCTAGAATTAAAGGTGTATGTCACCATGCCCAGCCTATGAATAAAGCTTTTAAATGACAAACAGCATATAGAATTTGGAAGTGTCTAAGGAAGGCAGAGATGACTTTATACACTAAGCCACAGCTTTCATCACCTGTACACAGGAAAGGAAAAATAGAACCAGTGGTCCAATGCCAAGGCCCAAATGAATCACTAGAGGGCCCTCTTATCCTAAAAAACTTGAAAATTCCAGTCAGCAACAATTCCAGGACATCTAGGGTGCTGAGGATCTGAATTCAGGTCCTCATGTTTGCACAGCAAGCACTTTACCTACTGAACCATCTCCCCAGGAGGATCACTGTGAGCTCAAGGCCAGCCAGGGCTACACAGTGAGTTCCAAGCCAACCTGGACTATAGAACCTCAGGCCAGGTGTAGCAGCACCTGCCCAGCACTTAGGAGGTAGAAACAGATGGATCAGAAGTTCAAAGTCATCCTAAGCTAAGTGTGAGGCCAGCCTGGGCTACATGAGATGCTGTCTTAAAAGGCAAAACCAAAAAAAGTTTTTTAAGAAGTTGAAAACAGGGGCTGGAGAGATGGCTCAGCGGTTAAGAACACTGGTTGTTCTTGCAGAAGACCGGGTTTGAATCCCAGAACCCACATGGCTGCTAACAATCGTCCATACTCCAGTCCCAAGGGATCTGACAGCCTCTTCTGACCTCCTCAGGCATTGCGCAACACGGGTGCAATGTAGGCAATACACGCATACACATAAAATAAAAATAATAAAATTAAAAGAAAAATAAAAGCTGAAAACGGACTAGAGAGATGGCTCAGTGGTTAAGAGCACTGACTGCTCTTGCAGAAGACCTGGGTTCAATTTCCAGCACCCACATGGCAGCTTCGAACTGTCCTTAACTCCAGTTCCAGGGGAATCCAAAGCCCTCTTCTGACTTCCACAGCACTGCACGACACAGGTGCACTCACATACAAACAGGTAATACACTCATATATATAATAATAATAATTTCTTTTTTTAAAGTTGAAAACTGCTTAGTGTGATGTTGCATGCCTTCCATCTCAGCACCCAGGAGACAGAAGCAGGTGAATAGGATCTCTGAGTTCCAGGCCAGCTGGGGCTACAGAGAGACCCCCCCCATCTCCAAAAAAAGAAGTTAAAAATTATATAAAATCGGGTTGGAAAGATGGTTCTGTGGTTTAGACTACTGACTGCTCTTGCAGAGGATCTGGGTCCAATTCCCAGCACCCACATGGCAGTCCATAACTCCAGTTCCAGCAGATCCGACGCCCTCTTCTGACCTCCAAGGGCATCCCACAACATGGGTGCACTTGCATGCAGGCAATACACTCATACACACAAAAAAATGAACGTGTCCCAGGCACATTCCTCAGGCTTTGTCCAGCCTTACGGTCTTGGTACTGCTATCTCCTCTGCCCAGTAGGTTTTTGTCAAGAGTTACCCTTGACTGGCTTTTTCTCATCCTTCAAACGACTCAAATTCAAATCCCTGAAAAGAGAGCTTTCCCAACACCTGACTTCAGGTCACCCTTTAGTAATCACCCTCTAGTTTATGCACATTCTGTTGTCTTCAAAGCATTCCAGAGAAGTGTTAGAGGTGGTGGTGGCAGTCACCTGTAATCCTAGTACGTAGAGGTTTCTGCAGGAGAATTAAGAGTTATAGGCCATACCAGGGTATATATTAAGACCCTGTCTTAAAAGAAACAGTAGTTGCTGTATTTATTTCCCTGCAATGTTTCTCCTTCCCAGATAACCTCCATAAAAGAAATAATGATGATACTAGGTGTGGTGGAGCACACCTTTAATCCCAGCTCTCAGGAGATCAAGGCCGGCCTGGTCTACTTAGAGAGTTCCTGGTCAGCTGGGGCTACAGGGAGACCCTGTCTCAAAAAGTCCAAAAAATTTAAAATTAAAAAAAAAAGAAAAAGAAATGAGGATAAGAATTTAAGGTAAAGGCTGGAAATGCAGCTCAGTTGATAGTTTGCCTAACATACATGAAGACATCCCCAGCACTGCATAAACCAGGAATTCAAGGTTGTCCCTGGCCACACAATCAATTTGAGGCCAGCTTGGGTCCTCTATTAGGATGCCCAATATCCTTGGCTTCAACTGAGATTTCAGAGAGAGGGGCTCAATCTGAAGTCAGCAAGTGAGATGCAGTCTATGGAGTACCCATCCCCTAAAGCACCTTTCCTAGTAAAACATCTCTTACAAACTTGCATTTTGTTTGTGGGGCAGAGATGAGGTGGGGATACATACACAAGGCCTCCTTCTTGGGGGAAAAAGATACTAGTGTGGTTGTGGGAAACTCTAGGAGTAACTAGCTTTAAAAAGAAAAGTCATGTAGGCAGATGGCTGGGTGCCCCAACTCCTAGACTTAATGTTTGACCTGGACAGGCATGGTAGTGCATACCTTTAATCCCAGCACCCAGAGGCAGAGGCAGGCCATCTCTGTGAGATCAAGACCAGCCTATAATCACTACATAATGAGTTCTGGGCCACCTGGGGCTACAGGGAGACCCTGTCTCAAAATAAAAAGGGTTGGGGGGCGGGCTGAAGAGATGGCTCAGGGGGTAAGAGCACTGGTTACTCTTCCAAAGGACCCATTTTCCATTCCCAGCATCCACATAGCAACTAAAAAACATTCATAGTCTGGTGTGTGTACGCCTTTAATCCCAGCACTTGAGAAACAGAGGCAGGTGATCTCTGTGAGTTCAAGGCCAGCCTGGTTTACATAGTGAATTCCATGCCGGCTGGGGCTACTGGGAGATCCTGCCTCAAAAAGACAAAAAAAAAAACTGTTCATATGTCCATTTCCAGAGGGTCCAATGCCCTCTTCTGACCTTCAAGGGCACTGCATGATAAGGGTGCACTTACATGAAGGCAATGTATTTACACACAAAAAACAAAAACAACGTCTGGCCTGGTAGAGCCCCCTCTTGTCCTTCCTAAGTAGGAAACCCCACCCAAAAAGAACTTTTGGTTGGTTTTTTTGTTTTGTGATTTTTTTTTTTGGTTTTTTTTGGGGGGGGGGCTCTCTTTGAGACAGGGTCTCCCTATGGCCCCAGCTGGCCGGGAACTCCTTATGTAGACCAGGCTGGCCTCGAACTCACAGAGATTCGCCTGCCTCTGCCTCCCGAGTGCTAGGACTAGCGGTGTGGGCCACCACACCTTGCTAAAGAACTTCTCTTGCTCATACTGGTACCTACAAAGGTGAGGACACAGCAGAGACTTGTAAATATCAGCTACACAAATGAATTCAAAATCACTCTGAAGTTCAGCTCCCGGCTGTCATCGTCTAGCCTCTGAGAGACGGAGTAATGACTTAACCTGCCTGGGTCTCCTTTCTGGTTTTTTTTTTCATCTGTAGTTTCATAAAGCACTCAGCGTGCAAGGCCAAAATGAAGACTCCGCATTTTACCATGATTCTAACACAGAACGCAATCTTCCTCCACTAGGTATCCTACCAAGACTCAGCACCACAGAAAATCTAACAAAGTTAAAGGCAAATTTTGGTTTCCACAGCCTAGCAGCAGATTGAAAGCAGATCTCTGCTTAGTGCTCTAGAGAAATTTTGAAAGACGGATTTGGGCTTTGGTGGAATAAAGACCCAATGAGGGGGTGGGGATAGCAGCAAGCAGGGGCTGCTCACCGCTTGGCGATCTCCTGGTAGCGTAGCTGCAGCTTCGCCTGCAGGTCTTGCTGTGGGAGGGAGGACAGGAAAGGTCAGCCTGACTAGGTACCCCAGGAGAGGTTGGGGTGACCAACTGATGAACAGGGGAAGGGATGAATAGTCACGACTGATATGGGCCCAGCAAGACGAAGAGGAAAGCTAGGGGCAGTCGCTTACAGATCCACTGCTGTTTGCCGGCTTTTCCAAATTCTAATTCAAAAAGCGTTAACTTTTCCTTTTCTCCCGGTCTTCTTTGGGTACTGAGTCAAAGTCATATAAGCATGCTTGCTCTGACATTCTCACTCTCTCATGACCCCTCACCCCCATGCAGGTGCCTACTTTCTCGGACCCTAACTCAAAAGGCTCTCTTCCTCTTGTCCATTTTCCACCTCCCAGCAACTGCCGAGATTTACATCTCGCCTGCCGTGTTCTTCAAAACTCTTTCAAAAGGAAGAAAAAAAAAAAAAAAAAAGGAAGAGGAAGACTAGAGAGCTAGGACCACGAAATCCAAGCTTGGCTACCCATGCCTGAGGAGGGGCCGAGTCAAAATCATACAGGACAAGTGAGGAGGGATAGATAGGGGTGGAGGAGAGGGCCACGAGATCCAAACGAAGACGGGGATCCCGGGTCTGCGTGGGAATGCGGGACAAGGGAGGGGTGGCGAGGAGAAGCGGGAGGAAGCTAGGGGTCAGGCAACCCAAAGCAAGGGAAGAAGGACAAGGGGATCCCAGGCCTGAGACCGAGGGACAGCGAACTGCCAAAACATTTAGGACGTGAGTCACGAATTGGGGATTCCTCGAGACCCCGAGCTGAGGGTGGAAAGAAGCGGAGGTGGGTTCGGGGGCACACGGGACCCAAATCATGTCCGCCCGGCCCGGCCCCCGCACCCCGGATGCCCAGTTCCGAAGCCTCTGGATAATGCGAGTAGCGGACGCCATGTTTCTTCCGCGCTGAAGGGCGCCGGTAACGTCTGCCGCGAGGATTACTGGGAGGTGGCGCGTTCTCGCGGGAGTGGGCGTGACCAAAGCATAGTATAAAGCTTCGCCCCGCCCCACGTGACTTCTCTTCCCCAGATCGCCGCCATCATGGACACGAGTCGCGTGCAGCCCATCAAGCTGGCCAGGGTGAGCTGACGGCAGTTTTTTAGGCTCCGGGGAAAGGAAAGAGGAGGAAAGAAAACCGGGCGGGTCAGGTCTGACTGTCGCTTCTTGCCTGTAGGTGACCAAAGTGCTGGGCAGGACCGGTTCGCAGGGACAGTGCACGCAGGTGAGTAGATGGGGACACCCTGACACCTCTCTGGGGTCTGAGCCCTGCCGAACACCCTTAGTCGGGTTTAGTGGCAGCAGCCCTCAATCCCAGCATCTAGGCAGCCTGAAAGTTCCATCGCCAATACACACACAACGAACACGCATGTCTGTAATGCCTCTACTCCAGAAGCAGAATCAGGAGGATCACGGGGAATTCAAGGAAGCCTAGGCTAGAGTAAGAGCCTGTCTCAAAAAATAAGAAAGGCTGGGCCTGGGACTCAGTTGATAGAGTGTTTTCAGGAAGCCCAGGGTTGGATCCCCTGCGCCACATAAACCAAGGGTGATGAACATATCTGTCAGGTAATCACTCCGGGAGGTAGAGGCCAGCCTGGGCTAGAGATCCGGCCCCCCGACCACCAAAAAATTATTTTAAAGGAATATAGGTCAGTAGTAGAGCCGCTCAAAGTTAACGACCCCAAATACTAGAGATGGGGGAGGGTATCACTCCTGTAATTCTAGTACTCAAGAGGATTGCTACAGACTAAGGCCCTTTCTTGGAAAACAAGTGGGCAGGGCACAGTGAAACACATCTTTAATAATCCCTGCAGAAGAAGCAGGCAGATCTGAGTTTGAGGCCAGCCTGCCTTACTCTTGAGTTCCAGAGCTACATAAAGAGACCTGGTGGGGGGAGCAGGGGCAGAAAACTTAGCAGTGGTGTTGCACACCTGTCATCCTAGCACTTGAGAGGTAGAGGTAAAGGGTCGGGGCAGGAGTTAAAGGCCAGTCTGGGACACAGGAGACATTGTCTCAAAAAAAATAAAAAAATTCCCTTTCATGCTCCATCTGAAAACCAAACCAAAACCCGTTTGCCCCAGGGTCTCCCAGACGGCAGCAAACCTACGAGACTAGTATGCACCATGTATGTTCTGTACCTTTTCCACCCCACTAATAACAATACCTGGCCCCTAACTCTTCTCCCGGTGGGCCCATAGGTACGAGTAGAATTCATGGATGACACCAGCCGCTCCATCATCCGCAACGTGAAAGGCCCTGTGCGAGAGGGTGATGTGCTCACCCTGTTGGAGTCAGAAAGAGAGGCTCGGAGGCTGCGCTAAGCATGTCTGCTGGTGAGTGCACAGGGTTTCTTGGGTAAGGGGATCTTGGGAATCAAAAGGGATCTGCAGAGACTTGACAGGGAGGGCTCTGCTGGTGACCAAGGTGAGGTCAAGGGCTGTCTGTCTAATGCTTGGGTCTATTTACAGGGTCCTGGATATCACCATTTGGCCCATGCGACGACCTGCCACTGTTAAATAAAGCGTTTGTATTGTTAGCACCAGTTCTTGTTTAGGTTGTCTGGTTAGGACACCTCTTTTTTTGAGGGTTTAGACCAACCTGGCCTTGACCTCACCGAAATCCTCCTGCCTCTACCTCCCAAATGCTAGGATTAAAGGTGTGCCACCACCACGCCTGGCTTGGGCCTTTGCTTTTATGGCTCCAAGGATCACTTATCTCTCAGGAAACCCTCCCATGGGCTGTGTGTCTGTTTCCAAACCACTGCCACCCATACTAAATGCAAGTTTAGCAGAAATGCTTTATTAGGAAAGATGTTTTTACAAAGTGAGTGACTCTGGAGCTATGTCAGCCCCCGCCCCCCTCACCCTTCCCTTGCATCCCAGCTGAAGCCAGAGGAAGCATCAGGGGGCACCCTGCTGTGATGAAAAGGCCCTTGTAGGAGAGGGAAGAGTCCAGATCTAGTAGCAGTTCACTGAGGCTGAGGTTCTATGTCATCATCACTGCATCCTCCTTTGCCAGGTGTGGCTGTGGGCCACTCTGGGGATGTTTGGTCCTAGAGAGAAAACAAAGGGATCCTGCAGGCAGAAGGCTTGGGGCTTTTAGCGCCCATCCCCCAGGCTTAAGGATGTTTAATCTCATTCCCACCTCCCTAGAGCAGGGTAAATAGATGAGTGGAGCTTAATCACAAAAATGCCAGGGATAACCTGGTGCTTACTGTCTAACACTGCCACTTAGGTGTGTTCTCTAAGTGCCAACCTCCCTCACTGCCTGGGCACCTCTTTTTCCCTCTGACAGAAACCTTTCATACATGATTTGAGCCAGGTGGTTTTCCTTTAGAGCCCTTAGTCTCCTAACCTGGAGGTGTGTGTTCACCTGGGAGTCTTGTTGGCTAGAGGTCAGGTGGGCATGGAGCAGTGCAGCCACCTCATCCTGCTCAGCCTCCAAGGCGATGGCCAGGGCACTGGTGCCCTCCTGAGGAGCATTAGGACATCAGCTCCCTGAGCCACAGAAAGGCACATACCACCCCCATTCCAGACCCTTGGTGCTCACATTGTCTAGGATGGTAGGGTCACAATCTGGCTGGGCCAACAGCAGTTGAACAGTATCCAGACGTCCATACTCACTGGCACACATAAGTGCTGTGGCCCCGTCAGCATCCTGCGCATTTACGTCCGCGCCACACTCCAGCAAGGCTGCTACCATGTCCTGGTGGCCATGACTAATGGCCAGCATGAGGGCTGTCTGTCCAGTCTGGGAAATGGGCAAAGGGTTGGGGTTTGGAAGAAAGGTCTGAGGGCTTTAGTTGACTCTAGAGGTAAGAGTTGACACCCTGGATCCATCAAGAGTGGGAGTGTGCACCTGGGTAGCCTTGGCATTGACATCACCCATGTTGAAGAGTCTCTGAACCACAGCCATGTCTTCCTGCCCCACGGAAGTAAGTGCAGCCAACATGAGTGCTGAGTAGCCGGCTCTATTCTGGTGATTGACCTCACAGACCCCTAGGAGGGAGAAGAATTGGTCATGGCCTCAGCCAGCAGTCCTTTCCCTCTGATCTTCAAATCTGTTTTTGCTAGTTTGGGGGTTTTATTTTTTATATGTGTATTGCATGCTTTGCCTGCAAGTTATATAAAGGCATTTGTGTGGGCATCAGGTCCCCTGGAACTGGAGTTACAAAACAGTTAGCAGTAGCCACCATGTAGGCGCTGGGAACTGGACCTGGGTCCTCTGCAAGAGCAGCTACTACAGGTTTTTGCTCTTTAGGTGGGACAGTATGGGGTCTCGTGGAACCTAGCTGGGCACAGACTTAGTATATAGCCAAACCATGGACTTCTAGACCTCCTGTCTCTACCTCCTCAGGTGTGCACATGTGCAGAAGCCAGGGGGCATGAGCAAGTTCCATACTAGCCAGGGTTAGAGTGTGAGACCCTGCCTCAAAAAGCCAGTCATGGTGATGGTAGAAAAGTCTTTAATCCCTGCACTCCAGAAGCAGTTTACTGTGTGCCATGCTGATAGATGTAAGGCTGGTATGGGCAGAAAACAGGCACAGTGAGGGCCAAGAGGCTTGGGGAATGAATTGGTAACTGGGGGTAGTGGTTGGCTTACGGCTGACCATCCCCTGCTGTTCCCAGTAGGTTTGATAGGCCACAAACCCCAGTGTGTATAGCACTGTATCAGAGGGAGGTGAGGCAGGGTTGAACAAGCAATACTCTAGCCTGAGGTGGGGTCAGAGCCCTAACCAGCGAGTAACCCTTGTACACTGGTGTTGAGGGAGTATCACACTGAGACATTCAGGAATGTGATTTCAAAGCTGGTTTTTACTGGGAAGGGAAGACAGGACAGCTAGGAGTATTGCCTACAATACCCCCTCTGCACATGGGGCTGGTGAGATGGCTCAGTGGTTAAGAGCACTTGCTCTTCCAAAGAACCCAGGTTCAGTTTAAAAAAATTTTTTTTGAGACAGGGTCTCCCAGTAGCCCCAGCTGGCCTGGAACTCACTATGTAGACCAGGCTGGCCTTGAACTCACAGAGATCTGAGTGCTGGTATTAAAAGCGTGCGCCACCACGCCCAGCTATAAAAATCTTTTCAAAAATCATCACCAAATTTGAGGCCAGTCAAGGGCTGTGTACCAAGGTCCTACCTTGAACCAAAAAGCCTTGTGTCTGGGGAAATGGCTCAGTGCATAAAAGTGCTTCCTTCAAAAGCATGTGAACCAGGATCCCCAGTACCCACATAAAAGCTGAATACCATGGTTATGTCAGACACCAAGACTGGGGTGTTGGAAATGGGGATCCCAGCCTAGCCCTGTCTCAGAAAATAGCCACAGGGGAAGCCACCAGAAGACATTGACTTATGGCCCCCATACCTGTAAACAAAAAACATACACATTCATTCCTTTCATTCTCATTCTCTCTCTCTCTCTCTCTCTCTCTCTCTCTTTCTCTCTCTCTCTCTCTCTCTCTCTCACACACACACACACAATCTACTAAAATAACTTGGAGGCCTAGTGGCAACCACTGCTGGTCAGCATCTTTCTGCGCCTTTTACTTCCTCAGCCTTGGCCACCGTGGCCTTCCTCTCCACACTCCCTGGTCTAACATCCTTTGGGAGGGAGGCTCTGATCCTGACCGGTATCTAGCAACAGGCTGGAAATGACCAGGTTCCCATGAGACACGCTGTAGTGCAAGGCTGTGTTTCCATTCCCATCTGCCAGGTTGACCACGTGCGCCAGCAGCTCAGGCCCCAAGTTCTTCACCCCTCTCAGCATCCCAGCCACTGGCTCAGCCTCAGAGCGCTTTTGGCTGGACACCCGAAACCACTCCTGGGCCACAAGGCGAGCTGCATTCTGTCAGGACAGGGACAAAGAAGGCGTCAATAGTGACACAAGAGGTGAAGGAAAGGTGTGTGGGACCCCACACGTCCCCAGGACCCCTTTGGCATTCTAGCAAGCAAGGAAGGCCGATGCCTGCCCAGTAGGGAGACCAGGAGAACCCAGGTGGAGGGCTGGGACAGCCACACCTTTTTCAAGGAAGTACAATCGCTGGGGTTCCTAGGCCCAAGATGGCAGAACCCTACATTCATGGGGCCATTGGAGAGTGAGTGAGGCAGTGAAAGTTTCTCGCTCTTGGGGAGTCATAGAACAGGGGTTGGGGCTGTGATCAGTTACGTGGGTTCCTGGGGGTGTGCGATCCAGGAAAAGGTCAGAGCTGATAGGGAGAGATCCCCTTTGGTGAATTTAGAGCCAGGGGAGGCCCCTAGTTAGAGGGGATAAAAGTTGGTACCCTAGCAAAGCCGGTGTTTCTTCCCTAAGAGGGTGAGAGAGTGGAGTCTTCAGCAGGACCCTCACTGTCTCCGCTGAAGGTCTTTTCCCACACTCACGCCATCTCTGGCGACTCCACCGGGCCGGATCAGCTGCCGATTCAGAGCAACACACGCCTCCCTCAAACGTGGGCTCAGCTCGCACCTGCCATGGAGGCCAGGCCAGGCTCAGCATCCCAGACAGGGGCGACCAGGAGTGGGGGAGCCATCACCACCCCAGAACTTTAGAGCACGCTCACCTCCCCTGTGTCTCTGCCTTTGGCTTTGGCTCTAGCTCTGGCTCTGCCTCAGGCTGGGGGTCCTGAGCGTCTCTGTCCTCCAGAGGGCCAAGCGTACCAGAGTCGGTTTCCCCGCCACCATCATCTGATCCAGAAGAGCTACTCCTAGGGGGTTCGGCAGTGCCATCTTCGCTGTCACTGTCACTGGCGTCCTCGCTGGAGGAGCTCTCATACCTAAGAAGGGGGTGGAAGGCATCTGCTTAAGCTTCTCGTGGGACTGGGTTTGGTTTTGTATTTGGTTTGGTGTTTCGTGTTGTGCTTTTGTTGTTTTGTTTTGGCAAGGTCACTATGTAGTCCTGGCTGCCGACCTGGAACTATGTAGACCAGGCTGGCCTCAAACAGAGATCCACCTGCCCCTGCCTCCTGAGTGCTGAGACTAAAGGTGTGCCACCATGCCTGACCTCTGAAATGGCATTTTACCGATGAGGAACTAGAGGCCTGCCAAGACCGGGGTTTAAGCAGACAGAGCTGGGATTCACACCCCGTCTAGGTGCCTGCAGCTGCTGTCATGGGAAGGGGGAGAAAGTGCTCACTCTCCGTTGAGGACCCCAACGAACTGCAGGCTCTTGGGTGCCGGACTGGATTGGGCACCTGGCGCACCATCTTTCTTCTTCATGATGGATTTGAGGATGCCTGGCAGGGAATCACATGAGGGCTCTGAGTTTGACACCAGAGGCCTGGCAGGCCAGGGCTCACCAGGGGTGGAGACTCACCAGCGGGGGCCACCTCCTTGTCCCTAGCCATGGGTCTGGACTTGTTCTCCAGAGTCAGGGAAGGGGCCTCCGCCGGGAGGTCAGTCTGCGTGGTCTTCTCAACACTACCCCATGAGGTCTGGGTGGCGGCCTCGCCGAACTGGGACCTGGCCACTGTGGCCTCATCCCCTCGGGCCTCCTCCATCTCTCTCAATCGGCCCCTCAGGAGTTCGCTCACCCCGCGCTGGTGCTCCAAGCTGGTGCGCAGCAGCTCCAGCTCGCGTTCGGTGGCCTCAGGCAGCCCCAGGAGTGCCTCGGTCACCCACGTGTCCACCTCAACGGTCTCGGGGCCCACCTCCACGCCAACCTCCCGTGTGTCGGGTACTGCCTGGGCATCCTCCTCTCGGGTCTCGGGCACGACTTCGATGCCCGCCTCCCGGGTCTGGGGTTCCCTATCAGGTGTCCTAGACGCCCGATCGAGGGCCTGCAGCGCACCCTCGCTCCGCCTCGCAGCCCACTCGTCCGGATCGTCAGGCAGGGGGCTGGCCTTGGAGCGGACGCCTCGGTCGGAGGTGGCCAGACGCTCGGTGAGGCGCCGCAGCTGAGCGAGCTTGTCCGGGCGCGCTTCGAACTCGGCGTTCTGCTCTGGCTGCGCGCGCTCGGCTAGTAGCCGCGCCTTCTCGGCGCGCAGCGCGCGCACCTGCTCCTGCAGCTCAGGCAGAGCCCGCGCCTGGTCCTCGAGTTCGCGCAGGCGCCGCAGCGCCGCGGCCATCTGCTCGCGCACCAGCTGCAGTTGGGCGGGGCCGGGCGAGGCAAGGGCGGGGTTGGGGACCGGGCTGCTGCGGCCCGACTCGCGGGGGCTGCGGGAGACCGCGCGGGCAGGGCTGGCTGCGCGCTCTCGCGCCTGCGCCTGGGCCTGCTCCAGCCGTCGGCTGGTTTCCAGGAGCGTGAGCTCGACTCGCGGGTTGCGAGTGAAGGAGCGCGGCGACAGCGGGGGCAACGAGAGCCCAGGGGAGAGTGCGCCCGAGGCTCCGCCATCGTCACTGGCCAGGGATTCGCTGGAGGTCCAGGCTCCAGGGCTGCGCGCGCCCGCGAGGCCTGTCCGGGACGCGCGCGGGCGGCGTGGGGGAGGGGGTCCAGGGGCTCTGCGGGAGACCGGGCCGCGCTCCAGTTCCTCCACGTACTTCAGGAAATCCAGGTCCAAGTGGAAGCCGTAGGGCGTCTCCACGGAGTAGGGAGAGCTCGGCCTGCGTGCACTCCCCGGGGGCACTGGGCACAGGCGAGGGCCGCCTAGGTCTGTGGCATAGGCAGAGAGGGGGAGTCAAGCCAAGGAGTCCCAAGAAAGAGTAAACAAAAGTAGCCGTCTCCCTTGACGCTGTGATGATGCCCCTGTACAGTTGCCATTGGGCATGGCCATCCCTGAGCGCCAGATAGTAATGCAATCAAATGTTTATTGAGTACCTACTAGATAGCAAACACCGTTCTAAACTCGGAATACTATAGAAAACAAGACAGCATCGGGGCTCTCTTGCAAGCCATAAATAGACACAATCATTTCAAAGAAAACTTTCAAGGCAATTATAATAGCATGGTGAAATAGAATTACTGAAGGAGCCCAGTTTGGGCTCTCATGTCAGGAAAGATTTCCTTTGGAGGGAACTTGAAGATTGAGCCCTTCATAAGGAGGAAGCAGCTGCAAAGGCAGAAGTTGCCAAAAAGAAAAAAACGCCAATGGAAGACACTGGGGAGTAGGGACAGCTGGAGAGGAACAGGAGGAAGTAGGTTGTCCCAGGGGAGTGAAGGAAGGAAGGGAGTGGGAAGAGGAGCTGGAGAGATGGGCAGAGGGAACGTGGGGGCGGGGGGGGGGGTTGTCTCCTGGGTCACAAAGGGAAGTTGAGGTATTATTTACGTAGGGTGCCATGGGTGGGTTTAAGACCTGTTAGCCGCTATGTTCAAAGAAGGACCTGCTGGTCTGTGTCCACATACACACAAGCACCCGTGCATATCTTTGTACACACATCTATCTCATTTTGCACACTCACCGGGCAGGTTCTGATTCAGGGCAAACTTGGCCATGTTTCCTGAAGCAGCCACCAGACACCTTGGGGAAAAAAGGCCCCAGAGAAGTGAGAGTGGAGACCCAGTCCTGTCAGGCTTGAATATTTGGGGCCCACCATGGAAATTGTGAACAAACAGACCAAGAGCTTTTTTCCACCTCACCCGGTCCTCCAGGCTCCCACTCTCCTTCCTCCAGAAATGGAGACTCTGGCATGCTAGGGATGGAATCTGAGAATTTGTGCATGTATATAAATACATGATTTTGAGGCATGCAAAGAAGATATAATTGGGCACTGGATTTTTTGATTGGTTTGGTTTGGTTTTTTGAGAGTCTCCCAGTTGACCTGGAACTTGCTATGTAGACCAGGTTGAGCTCAATCTCACAGAGATCCCCCTGCCTCTGCTTCCCAACTCCTGGGATAAAGGTGCACAGAAACAACCCAGCCCTGGCATTGTAATTTTTCACGAGGTTACTTGCAAGACCCTTCTAGGAATGATGGGGAGTTTAAGACTGAATACCTCAGTGATGCAACTGATGAATACCTGCCTCCGGGATGTCTCTAGTGCAGTGGCATAGAGCTCTTGTAAGGGTTTATAACAAACACAACCACCTGAGGAGACAAAGCTGTGGCTATCCATGGGAGAGGGGCGGGCAGGGAGGGTGACTCAGGTTTCATAACGGAGGTAAGTGAGGGGCTGGAAAGAAGAATTTGGTTCAGTGGGCTAGCACATGCCTAGCATGCACCCTGGGTTTCCTTTGCAGCACCACCAGAAAATACAGATTAAATTCTGGGCTAGAGATGTAACTCAGTTGATAGAGTGCTTGCCTCGCATGCATTAAGCCCTGGACTCCATCGCCAGCATCAAGTAAACCAGGTCTAGTGGTACACATCTACCATCCTAGCACTCAGGAAGTAAAGGCAGGAGGGTCAGGAGTTCAAGGTCATTCACAGTGACAGAGTTTGAGCTGGCCTGGGATACATGTGACCCTGTCTCAAAAAAGAAAGCAAAAGGGGCTGGAGACAGGGCTCCACACTTAAGAGCACTTGAGAGGACCTGAATTCAATTCCCAACACCGAAGTTAGGTGGCTCACAACTGCCTGTAACTCCAGTTACAAGAGGTCTAACACCTTCCTCTGGCCTCCATGGGCATGAACATGGTGCACATACACATATGCATGCACACACTCATACACATAAAATAATCTTTTTTAAAAATTAAGAAAAGATGGCTCAGCAGTTAAGAGCACTGGCTGCTCTTGCAGAGGATCTGAGTTTGGTTCCCAGCACTCACATGGCAGCTAACAACTTTCCACAACTCCAGTTCCAGGGGATCTGACACCCTATTCTGGCCTCTGCCGTCATTGCACACATATGATGCACTTACATATATGCAGGCAAAACATACACATAAAATAAATTAATTAAATAAATAAAATGTTTTAACAGGCGTGGTTGCACACGCCTTTAATCCCAGCACTGGAGAGGCAGGCGAATCTCTTGTGAGTTCAAAGCCAGCCTGGCCTACATAGTGTGCTCCAGGTCAGCTGGGGATACAGGGAGACACTGTCTCAAAAAGACCAAAATTTTTTTTTAATTTTTTAAATTTAAAAATTAAGAAGGAAGGGAAGGAGATAAGAGGGAAAAGGAGAAAACAAAAGTGAAGCCAGGCATAGTGGCACATACCTGTAATCCTAGCCCTTGCAAGGCTGAGATAGGAAGACGGTATGTTCAAGATAGCTTTGGGCTACAAAGCAAGTTTGAGGCCAGCCTCAGCTATATACTGAAACTATATACTGAAATAGCAGAAAGAAATGGGAACAGGATAGAGAAGGAAAGAGAATTGGACCTCAGGTGATGGAATTTTTAACAAGATCAAACATAAGTCCAGAACTTTGGCTTGAAAAGTACAGAATGGAGGCTAGGGATGTAATTCAGTGTCACAGCATTTACCTAGCATGGAGGCTAGGGATGTAACTCAGTGTCACAGCATTTACCTAGCATGGAGGCTAGGGATGTAACTCAGTGTCACAGCATTTACCTAGCATGATGAGGCTATAGGCTTCAGTCCTCAATGCCCAACACCACACCCCCCACACACACACACAAGAAGGGAATGATGGGACTTTGAAGGACCCTCATGGAAAGTCCTCAAGGAGCAGAAAGTGGCTTGAACTGACTGCCTACCCCACGCTCTGTCTGATTAAATGTAACCCCATAGAATTCTGCAACACAGATTATCATTCACATTTTACAAATGGGGAAACTGAGGCATGAAACAAGTCCATCCCTGTGGGAAACCTTTCCAATTGAACTCTGCCCACCTCTTGCCCATAGTGCCCAGCAAAGTTACCACCCTGCCTGTCCAGCCTTCCACCAGCCAGACCCAATCCAGTCATCCTCTCCCAGCTCATCACCCCTCTGCTGTAACCACCTGAAAACCCAGCCACCCTTCCCAGCCCCTTGTACTGCCAGCGGCCATCTGAGTGCCAGACGCAACTAGCCATTCAGCACCTATCAGCATGCCTAACACATCACCCTCTCCACTGCTAGGAGCAGCCATTTCCACTCAGCTCCTCTTCCTCTTCTTCCTCCCCCTCCTCTTCTTTACTCTTCCCTGTCCAACCTGAATCTCTGAAGTTTCCCTCTCAACCCCAAAGCCAAGCTGAGCCATTTCCCAGTCAGCCCTCCAGCAGCTGTTTCCTGTCCCCTCACACCAGCTGCAAGGGGCGAGCCAGCAGGCCAGCAGGTCAGCAGGGAGGACAACCAGTGCCTCTTGCAACTTGTTTTCAGGAAATTGCTGGGGAAGAACTGGGCCCTGGAAAAAGCCTGGACCAAGGCTTGGGGGTCTGGAACAGCCTTTCACACAGCTGGTGAATGACTCAGGGCCATCAGCCCCCTCCTCCAGTGACCTAGTCATACCCACATCCAAGGCTCTGGGACAGGGAAAACAACTGCTGGTCATCTGTAAGATCCAGACCAGCTGGAACAGCCAGGTCTAAAGGCTATACCAAGACAGAGTACCAGGGCAGTACATAACAATGAGATTCTTGCCATTCATTTGTTTTTTCTTTCTTTGTTTTTGAGGCAGGCTGGCCTCCAACTCTATGGAATTGAGGATGACTCCTGATCTGGACCTGCCTCCACCTCCCAAGTGACAGGACTACCGGAATGTAATACCACTCCTTGTTCATGCAATACTGGGGATGGAACTCAAGGCTTCAGGCTTGCTATGCAAGCACTCCAGCACCTGAGCCACAGCTTCATTTTTCCCTTTTATTATGGGTCAGCTTATACTTATCAACCTAAGCCCTCTAAGGTTGGTCCTCAGGAGCTGGAGAGCCAGCCGGCTCAGCAGTTAAGAGAACTGGCTGGGTTCGGTTCCCAGCACCCACATGGTGGCTAGCAATTGTCCACAACTCCAGTTCCAGGAAATCCAATGCCCTCTTATGACCTTCCCAGGCACTGCATGACACAGATGCACTTACATGCAGGCAAAACACTCATACACATAAAATAAAAATAAAGTTGGTCCTCATAGTTTCAGTGACGCCCCCCCCCCCCACTATACCAATGCACTTGGGCCTATGTGAATCCCTTGCAACTTACTCAGATCCCTGTATTGGCCACTAGACTGCTTTTTTTTTTTTTTTTTTTTTTTTTTTTTGGACAGAGTCTCTCTGTAGCCCCAGCTAACCTGGCACTCATTATGTAGATCAGGCTAGGCTGGCCTTGATCTCACAGAGATCTGCCTGCCTCTGCCTTTCAAATGCTAGGATTAAAGGCCTGTACCCTATGCCTGGCCCAACTGCATTTTTTGACATTTGGGGTGTGAAAGGCAAGCTGTGACATTTGGGGTGTCAGAAGGCAAGCTGTGAGAGTCCTCTCCTTCCACTATGTGGGTTCTGAGGATTGAACTCAGATCCTTGGACTTGGTGACAAGTGTTTTAACCCACTGAGCCAGCTTCACAGTCCCTGTTTTTATTTTTGCTCTGTTTTCATTTTTGTTTTATTTTGGGTTTTTTTTGTTTGTTTGTTTTTTGTCTTTTTTTGAGACAGGGTCTCCCTGTAGCCCCAGCTGTCCACTATGTAGACCAGGCCGGCCTTGAACTCATAGAGATCTGCCTGCCTCTGCCTCCAGAGTGCTGGGATTAAAGGCGTACGCCACAGCGCCCAGCTTGTGACCTCGTTTTTGAGATAAGGTTTCATTATGTAGCTCTGGCTGGCCTGAAACCTTCTGTGTAGACCAGGCTGACCTGGACCTCACAGAGATCTGCTTGTCTCTGCCTCCTGAGTCCATCTGTTTTTATTTTTTGAGACAAGGTTTCTTATGGAGCCCAGGTAGTCTCCAACTCTCGGTATACCCCAGACTGTTGTCCTCTTGCCTTGACTGGCCTCCTACGTGCTGGGATTGCAGGTATGCACCACCACACCCAAATGACTGCTTTTCTTTTTTTTCTCTTTCCCTACCCTCCACCCCACCCCCAACCCCTCTTTTGGTGTTTAGGATTAAACCTAGGGCCTCACACACGTAGGTAAGTGACCTTCAACTGGGTTATATATCACTAGCCTTTTTTTGAGACAGGGTCTCCCTGTAGCCCCAGATAGCCTGGAATGCGTTGTATAAACCAGGTTGGTCTTGATCTTCCATAGATCCACCTGCCTCTGCCTTTTTTTGTTTTTTGAGACAGGTCCCTATAGCCCCAGCTCCAGCTGGCCTTGGCCTGGAATTCCCTGTGTAGACCAGGCTGGCCTTGGTCTCACAGTAACCACCTGCCTCTGCTGAGATAAAGGCATGTGCCACTACACCCGGCACTAACCCTTTTTTAAATTACATTTTTTTAAAAATTTATTTGGGGGGGGTGACCATGCAATGGGTTGAGAGTGAATTGACGTCAAAGAGCAGCTCTGTAGAGTCAGCTCTCTCCTTCCACCATGTGGGTCTCAGGTATCCAACTTGGGTTGTCAAGCCTGACAGAAAAGCACGTTTACTAACTGAGCCATCTCATTGTACCCATAACCCTTCTTAAAAAAACTTTATTATTTTGAGTTGGGTCTGGCTAGATTGCCCAGGCAACCCCTTGAATTCACTCTGTAACCCTGGCAGGCCTTGAACTTTCAATCCTCCTACCTTGGGGTTGGAGAAACAGCTCATCAAAGTACTTGCTGCTCTTGCAGAGGACCAGGGTTCAGTTCCCAGCACCCACATGGTGATTCACAATTAGGGGATTCGACGCCCTCTTCTGGCCTCTGCAGGCACATGTTGCACTTCCGTATATGCATGCAAACACTCATACACATTAAATAAATAAAAGTTAAAAAAAAAAAACTTTTTCTAATCCTCTTAGCTCAACCTCACTAGTAGCCAAAATTACAGGCCTTCTTTTTATTTTTAAAGATCCCCTTCCCATCCCCAGAAGGGGCAGGGAGCCTAGGCCATGTGTACCCTCCCAGCCAGAACATGTCAGCCTTGCCTGGGTACTTGATTGTGGGCTGGGGATTGTGATGAGGCAGGCCCACACTTGGACGGCTGTACAAGCTGCTGCCTCCCTAGAGAGGGGCTTGTAGCTGCCCTTTTTCTCTCCTCCCCTGCCTGGCTGTTACAGCTAAATCTGGATCCCCTGCCTGAGACCCCCTCATTAGGCCATCAAAGATGAAGCCACACACCCCTACTCCCGCCCCTGGAACTATTTCAAGACTCAGAACTGTGATCAGGAAACCTGAAGGATGGGGGACACAGCATGCAGTGAGCATCCAAGTCTGGCCTAAGACTCCACATAGTGGCACACTTTCCATAGTGGGGTAGGATTCTCAGATCCATGATCTCTGTGGGAAGTACATGATGGTAGGACACAGGTTTCTAGGGCCATCACCCCCCCGCCCCGGCCCCACAACACACACAACCAGGTCAGCTTCGAAAAGACAGGGCAGTTTCCTACAGGAAAGGCCACTGGGCGGTTCCATCCGCTGCCCATTGTCTGCTAGTCCCGGGCCGTCCATCCCTCCTCCCAACATAGTTTCCGCATCACCCGCCTCCTCCACCCCCCCCCACCCCCGCGCAAAGTCCGGCGCAAGAGGGCCAGTCCCAGGTCCCCAAGCGAACTCTAGGGAAGGGTCCCATAGGCGGCTGGGGGATTAGGGAGCTCACAAGCGCCCCAGGTTAGGTCCTGGACGGCTATGCAACGACGATCTGTGGAATCCAGAGCCTTCCTCGCCCACTACCCACCTGGGGTCGGGATCGGAGGACTCGGCACCCACCCTGTCGCAGCGCTCCGAGCCCACAGAAGGGACTGGGTGCACAGCACTACGCCCGGCCAGGTGCGTCCTCAGTTTCCCCAGAAGGGCCCTCCGTGGGTGTCGCCGCAAGCTGGAACGTTACCTGAGTCCGCAGCCCTGGCCGCGCCCGCACCGCACCGAGCCCGCCCCCTCGAAGCTCGGGGACGGGTTATCAAGGCTTTCACCCTAACGGACAGGCATATCAGCCAACCAGAACCCGAAGCTCGCCGAGCTAGCCTATGGTGAAGCAGAGTGGGTCGACAGGGTGGGGCTGCGAGTGGGGGGCACGGCTGAGGCGGGACCTGCGTGGGGGTCCGGGAAGATCCAGCAGTAGGGTGTGGTGCCGCCCGCATCTGTGCCTGGCCTGGGACTAAGGAGTTGGGATTTTTTTCAGAGCACGCTAGGGGATGCAGGAGCTCAATTCCCAGTGTTTGCTCGCGGCCCCAAACCCTGGATCTTTTCCACTGCAGGACCTTTACACATACTGTGCCACTTACCAGAAACATTCTCTGCACATGATACTTTCCCCAACTTTTCGTTGCTCAATCTATATGTCGCTGTCCTCCCTCGACAAAAGGCTTAACACAGCCCTTCCCTGGTCATCATCTTTCCCATCACTCTGATTTATTTTTTTCTCTTCCTTTTAAGTTTTTTTTCTTTACACGCTGATTTACTAACCCAATAATAGCATTCATTACATGAAAAGCAGGGCTGTAATTTGTTTATTTACTTGCCCTCTGTCCCCTCCACTAAACATCACAAGATATTCGGACTGCTTTACACTGCCTCTGGCATGCTGGTGCTTAATAAATGTCTGTTATGCTGGGGATATATATAGCTTAGTGGTAGAGCACTTAGGTAACATACAAAGCCCTGGGTTAGACATTCAGTATCACAGTAGAAAGATAAGTTAGTAGATACATAGGTAGGTAGGCAAATAGACAAGTGATTTAGATGATAGATAGATGATGATGATAGATAGATGATAGATATAGATAGATGATAGATATAGAAGATAGATAGATGATAGATTGATAGATGATACATAGATATAGATAGGTGATAGATGATAGACAGATAGCTAGATAGATTGATAGATGATTGATAGCTTACTTAAAGTATCTGTTGCAATAATGGTTTAAAAGTACATTTAGGACCAGTAAGATGGCTCAGCAGGGAAGTATACTTGCTGTCAAGCCTCATCCCTGGGACCCTGCATGGTGGAAGGAGAGAACTAACTCTCATAAGTTGCCCTCTGACCTCCACACCATCGCCTGTATGCACTCACACATATAGAAGCACACAAATAATTTTTTTAATTTTTTAAAAATTATTTTTACTCAGTGTGGTGGCACACGCCTGTAGTCTCAGCACTTGGGAGGCAGAGGCAGGCAGATCTCTGTGAATTCAAGGCCAGCCTGGTCTACATAATGAGTTCCAGGCCAGCTGGGGCTACAGGGAGACCCTGTTTCAAAAAGACCAAAAAAAAAAACCTTTTAAATCTTATGTGTACGAGTATTTTGCCTACATGTATGTAAGTACACTACATGCTTACAATGGCTTCCAAAAGATGTTGGATCCCCTGGAACTGAAGTTATGGACAGTTGTCAGGCACCGAACTTGGGTCCTCTGCAAGAGCAGCCAGTGCTCTTAACTGCTGAGCTATTTCTTCAGCCTCAAATAAAACATTTTTTAAAGTACATCCAACTTAAACCCACTTGAAGTATATTATGATCTAAAGTGACCTTAATTTTTTTTCTATTTTTGTTTTTGTTCTTTTGGTCTTTTTGAGACAGGGTCTCCCTGTAGCCCCAGCTAACCGGGAACTCACTATGTAGACCAACCAGGCTGGCCGTGATCTCACAGAGATCTGCCTGCCTCTGCCTCCAGAATGCACCACCATACAGGCACTTTTTTTTCTTTTTTTAAGAAAAGGTCTCACTGTATATCTCTGGCTGGCCTGGAGTTCACTGTGTATACCAGGCTGGCTTCCAACTCACAGAGATCTGCCTGCCTCTGCTTCCCAAGTGCTGGGATTAAAGGCATGTACCACCACACCCTACTCTAAAA